TTCTGAACGCTAAGCTTACGAACTTAGTGCCTTACTAAAAATTGTACTATACTATATGCATTCGCCAATTGAAATGACAAGTGGCACATGTTTGAGTATATAATTACTGGACTGATAATATGTGGCTAGCATCATGGTGCGGCTGAGCAATTTTGCATCTCGGAGCTCACACGCTCCTTCAGCACCGAAGTACCATCGGGTACTCCTGGGTGAGATATGGAATTCTGCATTGGACGGTACACCGACCGACTTACTCCGTTGAGTCTTGGGCCATCTGATGCCCAGTCGGTTTGTGTAGTGTGGCACTGACTTGGATCCACTGACTATCTTATTTCTGCTAAAAGGAACTTGAGTGTTCTGATTGTTTCCCAAGTGTCAAACAAGGCTAGTTTTATGTAAACCTAGCTATTTTTGTTTCTACTGTTCTGATATTAATTATTGTTATCGGTTGAAGTCTTATTTGAGGATATACTAAAGTGCTGGGGTACCTCTAGTCTAATTCTCTTAAAAAATAGCCTTTTTGTCCAAAACAAACTGAAAGTATCGATACTCTTGCAAAAGTTTCATATTTTCTCTACAAGTATCGATACTTTTAAACATTCTGAACTGCCTGGTTTCGATACTTTCTGGGAGTTTCGAAACTATGACCCAAAGAATTGAAACTCTTACTTTTGCCCATAAACTCACGAGTTTGCCCAAGAAGAAGATCAAGTTTCGATATTATCCCTATAGTATCAAAACTCAACTTGCAGAGAGAAAAATAGGTGCAAAAACTCCTATTCTACTATCCTAAAAACCTTAGTGAGGTCCCAAGCATTATTAATGTTTTATGAAGATACAATGAGCATAAATAAGGCTTTAAACATGTTTATAACTCTAAAACATGAAATCTACCATGGGAATGCTTCAAGCTTATGCAACATACTATATTTCATCTAAATGACTTACATATGGTATAGTTGAGTCAATAGTGAGTTACATTTGATGTTATATGGCTGCAAACGTTAAAGGCTTAGCCAAAGTAACTTTTCCTTCTTTTTAACTTATGAGCCTTCTCAAACTTCTTGCACTAAACAAAACCAAATGCAAGGGTTACTAATTGTTGCTATGGATTAAGGAGGGTTTTAAAACACTTCCTAAGGCTATGAATATCTGAAAAATGGGTTGGAACCATCTAGTTTCTTAAACTCTTCTAAAACTCGTTTATAGAACCTCGGGCAAAACTTGATCTTAAGGTCTCAAATGAAAGGTCAAGAGTGTTGATTTTGATTCATACCTTGGTTTGATGAAATAGACTGCAACTAAACTAAAGCTTCCACCTTTGCTCAGGAGAAAGTTGAATAAGATGAAAAAACTTGGGAGAAGAAGACAAATGTGAAGAAAAAGAGAAGTTGGAATTCAGACAGTGATATCAACTAATTTTAATGGAAAATAGCTTTATTTTTTAACAAGGGTATAATCGTTTCCTTGGTCCCTCCAAGTCTAACTACAAATTAAAACACTCTTTTTATTCACTATTGGGCTTACCTCAAGCCTAAATCCTCTTTAATTTGAGTCAAGGCTTCCTACAAGCTAAGAATTAAACCAAGGCCCATCTCAGGTTAGCCCAATATTTCTAACTCAAGACGTACTCAAAAGCTCGTGTCAGTCTGGAGTGCGGGCAACTCGATAAGCTCCTCAAACGCTCCTCCAAAAAATCTTTGCATGAAAACAAATTTCAAACATTGAGCTTACAAACTCAATGTCACACTAATAACCAAACTATACTACATGATCATGCTTGTAAATGTAAATATTAGCTCACGAGAATGCTAATCTAAACATACATACAAAAGTAGGCATCATGGTGTGGTTGAAGGGTTTCGCTACATCTTAGAGACATACACCCCTCTAGCCTACCTTGGGTAAAATATGAAATTTCTACATCAAATCATCTGACCAAGCTACTCCTTACGAGTACTTCTGACATCTACACCCCAGTCGAAATAAGTGCCTTGTGCACTAATTGAGACTTGTCTGGACATAAAATCGACTCCTACTACTGGAGTAACTCGGGTATCCTGACTGTTTATTGAGCATCATACATGGTTAGTTTTATGACTTCCTAATTTATTAACGTTTCTAGATGAAATTATAAACATTAGTGTTTTTCTCACTTGAAATCTTATTAAGAAGTTTCAATGGCCTTTGATCCCTTAACTAATATACTCGAGATAAAATGAGTTTTACCCTTATCAATATGAGGTTCTCGATATTGGGCCTATCAGTATCGATACTAGTGCTAGAAATGGGCTAATGGGGTTTAAGAAGACTAACAATATTGATACCCTAAATTAGAGAATTGGTACTAGCACACGAGGGTATCGATATTGTTCATAGTAGACACCGAATTTGACTTCGTTGTTTGAAAATTAACTGAGTATTGATACCCTTACCATGGTATCGATACTCCCTTGAGTATTGGTATCAAATGACTACTGGAATTCAAAATCTAAAATGGTATTAATACTACCCTCTGAGTATCAATACCCTAAAAACAATATTGATACTCCATAAACAATATCTATGCTCGACGCCAAGATACCTTACAAATTTCAACTATGTGAAGGACAATATCAGTATTGTTCATCTAGTACAGATACTTATGCCCATAAATGTCCTATTTTGGCACGAAAATGTAACTTAACCCTACTCATTTGCCCCCATAAGACCATCAAGTGATGTTTAAGTCTTATGTAAGTTGATAGGGGTCATAAAAAGTCATTTTCATGCTTAAAACACCATAACTATAATCTATTATGATCATGATCATATGCTTCATAAACTAATACAAGCTAAGTAAATGTACCCAATGACCCACAAATTGTATAAAAAGGTTAAAAATGTGTTACCTTTACGACAGAGATTCAAATAGCGACTAGATGGTGGTATATCGATAGCCATATCACGGTCGTGGCAACATCTGGGATCGTTATCACGGAAAATAGCGGTGGGTCGTAATTGTTATTTAATGGATAACGACCAATTACAACAATAACAGACTGTTATTCTGTTATTTTTGCTATTTTTTGTTGAAAAGAATTAGCTCTTTATATCAACTCATTTAGAAAAAAATCACGACCGCAATACCCACAATGACTACGATAGCATTCATTATATCCGCAACCACGATAAACATAACATAACAAAAACGCAACCTTACCGTTATTTAAATCCTTGCTTTATGGTTAGCTACTGAAAACGTCTCCAAATTAATCAAAAGCTAGCTTCTGTTTTTCCTTGGCTTTGGAACCTTCTCAAACCTCTCTCATTAATATAACATGGGTAAATGAGTTAGTAACTTGATTAAGATTCCAAGGTAAAACTGAAAACACTTTCCTAAACTCAAACATGCTAAAAACGGGCTAGAAATATATAGTTTCCTAATGCCACTTAATCTCCACCTATGGTCATTGTGGCCAAACTTGAGATTGTGAGTTTGAATGAAAGCTTGGGATGAGAAGATTATGATTTTTAGCTTGGAAAATTTGTACTGAGCTTGAAGGAAAATTATGAAAATGGAGAGGAATGAGGTAGGGGAAAAGATAGATGAAAATGAGGGAAAATAGGAAGTGGGTAAGTATAATACATCTTCATTAATAGAAAATCGATATTTGAATTAAAAATGGTATAATAGTCCTTTGGTCGTTCCTCTTCCACTCAAGTATTAAAAATACCCTATTTTTCTATCGTTTAGGCCTAACCCAACCCCAAATTCATCCTTATCTTGCTCCAAATTATTCTATAAGTCTAGTGTGCTTATTTAAATCCTCTTAGGTTAACTTGAAACTACTAACTTGAGATTTGAGGCATAATAAATGGATTTAAAATTTTAAATAAATCATTTTTATATCCGTCTAATTAAATCTGAATTGAAAATAACCATTCTTAATTTTTAAAATATTAAAATCAGCCTCTTATCTAAATGGCCATTTTAGTGTTGATGTTTTTAAGCATTTTAGTCTAAGCATTTAATTTTTTTTATTAAAAATTATCATGATTGTATAGAAATTATTACTTGACCCACAATCAACACGTATTAACGACATGATACTTTTATATTTATTTAGTTGTTAACATTTTACATGTCACATTATCACAAAGTGTGACACATTATATCATCATCTTAAATGATTTGGTACATATCACATCATCGTGTATGGTGACACAACACACGTCACGACTTCACTTTAAATGATGTTATATATTTCATATTATCACAGTGGATGATATAACATATATTATTTCATCATTTTAAGTGACATGATTTATGTCATGACATTATCTTGAGTGATATGGTACATGTCATGACATCACATTAGACTGACATATGAATAATATTACACATATAAAATTATTATATCAGTAACATATATTAATCATTAATCAATTAATAATTTTCATCTAATACGAGACTCTTTTATAAAAAATACATTAGAAGATGAAGTGTTAAAAAAACAGGAGTCGAAATGTTCATTCAGACAACCCTTAAGATTAATTGTGAGGTTATACCATTTATAAATTAGATGCAGAAGCAGAGGACGTGCGTCACGCCAAAAAAAGATGACGTCTCCTCCAAAGAAAAAGGCATAAACATTTCAAAATGACGTGGCAAATGCCGACGCGCGGTCACGATTTAATCATAGGCCTAATCCGACACTACCCTTCGTTAGCAATAAAAATCCAATCCACTAGTAATTATTCTCCGCACCCGGATCAGCCTACGCTCATCTTAATCAAATCTCAACCCCTCACATCCACCACACAAAAGCTCCATCAGTTATTCACCATCATCTTCATTCGTTGACCCACTGCGTTTACCGTGAATACGCCGTACGGGATCTTTCCTCGAGATCTCTCGTCAACCTAAGAGACGCCAGAGTAGACTGGTCTGCCCCAAACTCATTAATTTTTCCTCGTTTTTTCTCAGGTATTTTCCCTCAAATTCTTTATTAATCCGATTTTTCCCCTTTATTTGTTTTCCGCTGTTAAAATTCTAGAGTAAACTGTTCCAGTAATAGTAAGAACATGATTTTGATTTGATGTTTGGTGTTTAACTGAGAAATTATGGTTTGACTTTTTAGTAGTGTGAATTTGAACTTTATAAAGTTTAATTTGAACCGGTAGTTTTTTTTTTCTGTCGTTGAGTTTTGATTTGCTTTGGCTGTGCAGATCTGGGAAAATTAGGGTTTTGAATTTGGTTATCGGAGAATGCAAACTAGAGGGAAGAGGAGCTTGGAAGGAGATGAGAATCAGCCGCCCGAGCGAAAACGCCCCGCTTTAGCCAGGTGTTTATCTTTTGTTTTTAAAAAATGGTACTTTGTTGTTTGCTTGCTTGGTTTTCTCGTACAACGATACTAATTCTTGGCGTGACATGTAACTTATCATTAAATTTGTTCCTTTTTAGTCCATGATGATCTTGCAGCAAGTTTCTAGGAAGCAAAAAAACTAGTAGTATAAATATCAAACCTTCTCTCCCTGTAGGGGCTTAGCAATTTTCTCTGAAATTATATATGTATCATATGCAGTGTAATCGTAGAAGCTCTCAAGGTGGACAGCTTGCAGAAACTCTGTTCGTCTTTGGAACCCATTCTTCGTAGAGTTGTAAGTTCTGTTTACTCGGTCATTCTTTGCGGTAAATTCTCTTGTTGTGGAGGATTTGAGGTAACTCTTAGTCAATGAGTTATCGGTGAATCTGCCGTTTTTTTATATTCTTCATCTGATGGGAGTTTTATTCTGACTTGGTGCTGTATCTGCTTTCTTATTTGTGCCTGCACGTGAACATGCATCCATATTGCTTTTGTGCGCATTTGCCTGTTTTATTTGTACAGAGACGCACACAAATACATTTGAAAGATTTGAATGAAGAATGCTTGTGTTTTTAACTGTTCATATGTTTACTCATAAAACCTATACAAGGCTGTTCCCTGTTAGTCTTTTTGAACTGTTTCAGCTTTCACCTCACTGTTACCTTGTAAGGTATGAAGGCTGGTCATTCAATCAGATTTTGATGTGATCAGTCACCTGATTTCCTAATGTTTATTACTGTTTTCATAAAGTGCATTATTCTTGCAGATATTTTCAATAAATCCTAGACTAATTCATGCTTATGGGAGATGGAGTCCTGAATAGAACTTTTAGATGATCCCATGTTTTGCTTATCACTATCTTTAAGAACGGCTATCCCTTCTGGGATATTACTCATTCTTCCACTCTCTCCTTGACCCTTTTGCGCAAGTTAATGATATGGAAAATACTTCCGTTTAACTATAATTGTTGATCACTTGTCCACGCACATGTTCCTACCTATGGAGTCTGATGAATGATGATGTTTCTTTTAGGATCTTCGTATCTTAAACACTCATGCCAAGGGTTTCTGAGATGTAGACACTATCCTGCTTGCTTCCATGTAACATAGATGTTCACTGTTTGTGTTGTAATTTTGTTGGATGGTTCTAAAATGACCCTTTTCTTTAGCACTTATGAGCCCAATTTAGAACAACCGTTTCTAGCACATTTCTATGGTATATTGTGTAGTCCATCATTTTACCCTTTGGGATATTCTTTTCCTTGTAACTTTGCAGGTAAGTGAAGAGGTGGAAAGAGCTTTGGCAAAATTAGGCCCTCCTAGACTTAGTGGAAGGTAAAATAATAAAATATCTGTCTAATCATTTACGATTGTAAAGGCAATTATTCTATATTCTGATGTCTTAATTTAATTATATATATATATTTCTTTTTCAATTGAAGACAGATAGAAAATGATGCATGTTAAGTGGTGTCGAATGACCAATGATTTTGGTTTGGTATATCAATAGTAGCCTTATATTTGGCATTGTTTCCTTTGCCTATTGCTCGTCAGGATCCCTATGCTTAACAATGTCAAACCATTTGGCGAAGTTTGTGATTTGAGAAGGTCAAACTTTATGTGATAAAAGAACTGTTTTGCTATCAATTGATGTATCTTGCAGTAGCTGGAGTCTAATATTCATTTTGGAACTTCTGGGTTTTAGCAAATTTTAGTTATTGTGAGAAAGTCTCTTTGTGCATGATGATAATGTGGGAACATCATATTAGACGTTTTTTTGTCTTTTGTTACCACTCATTTTAGCAATTGCTTGTGGAATTATATGCATTTTTTTAATGTTAATGAACTGTATACGCTGACAACAGTTTCTGTTAATTCTAATAGTTTTTGTGGTTGTTATTGTTCATTAAGTAACCATTGTTTAAGAATATTGTGCATGAGAATTGAAGTGCTGCAATGAGATTCTGAAAGAGTTCTGGAATGCTTTTAGGTTTGATTCTTTTCTTCTTCTTTCTTTGTAGAATTCCATTGGTTAATTAACTGCTTGCCTTTTGATTTACTTGAGCATCATTAATATACCAATAGAAATAGATGAACCCATACAATAAACTTGTTTTGATGTTATTTTCTATTATGTTTTTGGCTGGTTGATTGGTATTTTACTTTCTTTAAATGAACTATTTTTTAATCCTTTTTTATGTCGATTATTTACTAACCACCTCTTCGGTTTTAAGGTTCTTATTGTCTCAGTGTCTCCCTACTTTTTCTTTCGTCATTTCCTGCGATGCCTTTCTTATATGGATGAATCTTCTAATACTTTTGGTTTTTAGTTCTCCTAAACAAATGAAGGTCCAGATGGAAGGAGCTTACAGCTCCACTTCAGGTCCAGGTTATCTCTTCCTCTTTTCACTGGAGGAAAGGTTGAAGGAGAGCAGGGTGCTGCCATCCATGTTGTTCTAGTTGACAGTAATAGTGGACATGTTGTAACAACTGGACTTGAGGCCTCTGTAAAGCTAGATGTTGTTGTGCTTGAAGGTGATTTCAACAATGAGGATGATGAAGATTGGACACAAGAAGAGTTTGATAGCCATGTGGTAAAAGAGCGTGAAGGTAAAAGACCGCTGCTGAGTGGTGACTTGCAAGTGACCCTCAAAGAAGGGGTAGGGACACTAGGAGATCTAACTTTTACTGACAACTCAAGTTGGATAAGAAGCAGGAAATTTAGACTTGGTCTGAAGGTTGCTTCTGGATATTGTGAGGGTATACGTGTAAGGGAAGCAAAGACAGAGGCTTTTATTGTTAAGGATCACAGAGGGGAATGTGAGTTCATACTTTATACCATATCTAATTTTTCATCTGTGGATTTGTAAAAGAAAATTTAATTGAGTTGCATGACAGTGTATAAGAAGCACTATCCACCTGCATTGAATGATGAAGTATGGAGATTGGAAAAGATTGGGAAAGATGGGTCATTCCATAAGAAGCTTAACAGTAATGGAATATTCACAGTTGAAGACTTTTTAAGGCTTGCGGTCAAGGATCAACAGAAATTACGAAATGTGAGATTGGATTTTGGAAATGAAATTAAAATGATATTGCTTTTGGCGTTTCTTCTGACATTTTTGTCTATGTTTGTAGATTCTTGGAAGTGGCATGTCAAATAAGATGTGGGAAGCTCTCTTAGATCATGCAAAGACGTGTGTGCTGAGTGGAAAGTTTTATGTTTACTATACTGATGATACTAGAGATGTCGGTGTTGTCTTCAATAACATCTTTGAGTTGAATGGCCTTATTTCTGGGGAACAGTATTTACCTGCTGATTCTCTATCTGATAGTCAAAAGGTGGGTAAGATATATTATGCTGTTTTTCACCTGTCAATGAGATGCTACATCTCTGGTACTTATTTACTTTTCAGAGATGACCATATGAGATGCGTTAGCAGCAATATTACTTGGCCTGCCGTAATATTTATCAGATAACATGGAATTCCTTTGATTTTCTTCCCCATGTAGTTTTGTATTTTTTTTTTTTTTTTATTTTTTGCCTTTTCTATATGCCTTTAGTTGAGATTGGTTATTACTTTCAACTGCTTAAGGCTTGGGGTTGGTGTTATTTTCAATTTTTATTTTCAACGAATAAAATAGTTCAGCTAATGTAACAAAGGGAGCAAAATTTCTGTAGGTTTATGTAGATACGCTGCTGAAGAAAGCATATGACAACTGGAATCAAGTCATAGAGTATGATGGCAAGTCAATGGTGAACATCAAGCAAAATAGGAGGTCAAGTGCCCGAAATGAACTTCAGATGGATGCATTAAACTACCCTAATGCATTAGATCATCAATTGCAGTTACCAAGGTTGCCAGTTTCTGTTCCTACGGAGCATGTGCACTCAGGCCCTCATGTTGGAGGTAAGCATATGATCACTTTAATGTTTCAGCATTAAATGATTTTTATGTTCAATCATATGTAGCATAGCTTAATCTTTCTACAGTTGATTTATAAACATCATTTTTCTTATTGTGTCCTTACTTCCCCTTTACCGTGGTACATGATAGAAGATTAACATCTCTGAAGGATGAATGATTGTCTATGAATTAAGCTAAATAAGTAACATGTTCTTAATACCCTTTAACTGCTGGCATTCTGTTAATTTCTTTCTTTTGGTTACCACAGGGTTTAATGATAATCAGTCGACCAGATACACGGGACAACCTGAGCTTGTGAATTCGAATTCTCGTAGTCAATTTGACAGCTTGCAGTTTTTGCCATATGACCAGCTGGGTACCAGTTCGCAGCAACCACAAAGCTCAAGAGCTGATAACAATGCTGTTGGGCTTGCTCTTGGTCCTCCTCAGTCATCTGCCTTGGGTTTCCACAATGCCGGATCTTCTATGCAGACGTCGAATGTTAATCATTTCAATGATTGGACAAACAGCAGAGACAGGGGAGTCGAGGACTTTTTCTCGGAGGAAGAGATTCGCATGAGAAGTAATGAAATGCTCGAGAATGAAGATATGCAGCATCTTCTCCGCCTCTTCAGCATGGGAGGTCACCATGCTTCTGTGACAGAAGATGGTGGGTTTGGATTCCCTAATTACATGCCATCCCCAATGATAAACTTTGTAGACGAGGATCGTTCACGCCCTGGCAAAGCTGTTGTAGGGTGGCTAAAGATCAAAGCGGCAATGAGATGGGGTTTCTTCATCAGGAAGAAAGCAGCCGAGAGACGGGCACAAATAGTCGAGTTAGAAGAGGAGGAAGAAGAAGAATAGCCTAGTTATCCAAGCCTCGCATTTCTTACTATGGTTCTGGAAGATGCTAACACCACCACCACCATCAATGCCAGAGAGAAAAACTAGAGGTACATCGTTCCGATGAAATTATTGGTTTCAACCCCCCGGGGAAGAACCCTAATTGAGACATTGGGAATCTCTTGTACAGTTTATTGTGTAGTAAGCTGTATATTTGAGGGGTCGAATTTGCTTTTTAAGTTCAAATGGCCCTTCCCTTGCCTGATTTTTTAACGCATTAGGTGTGTTTGTTGATTCAAGAGGCGCCTCTGCATCTGCATCTCTCAAATTGTTGCCTGAGTTTCGTCTCCACCGAACAACAATTTCCCTGAATATTGTCACTCTTTTTACTTATTTGTAGACTCTCCTCTGTCAGTGTGCTTATATATAACTTTTAAGTTTATGTTAATGGCAGTGTTTATTAATTTGATTTGAAACCTAGAATCATATAAATGGAATTCTTACAAACGCAAATTATAAAATTTAGGGTAAATTACACGGGTGATCACTAAATTATGATAAAAAAATCACTTTAATCACCGATGTTTCATTTTAATCAAATAGACTATTCAACTACTTAAATGATTCATTTAAGTCGCTCTCTGTCAATTATTTAAACGGTTCACTAAATTTATTTTCTGTTAAAGTGAACCATTTAAATAATTGAATGATCTATTTGATCAAAATGAAATATCAGTAGTCAAAGTGATTTTTTTAGCATAGTTTAGTGATTACTCGTGTAATTTACGCTATAATTTATCAACTTTCTTTTCACTCGAGTCAAATTATCCTATATTTGATATTAACCTTTACAGTCGGATCAACATAAATAATCTCTTATTGTTTCTCGATCTTCATTTCTTAATTTTAGTAATAAAATATAAAAGAGAGAAAATGTAAGCGATAGAATTTATAATTTAGTTTTAAAATAAAAATGGGATTAAATTTCAAAAATCACATTTGACAATAAACAGTCAATTATCTTACTACAATCGCTTGTGTTTGAGCTTAACTTCTAGAAATAACAACAATTTCTTTAACTATCGAGATAAATAGATTCGTGCAGTCGAAATCGATTTGAATTATAAAATATTATTCAATAAGAATATATTATTCAAACACATTGGAAATTTCAATTTAATTATCTTATTCTTTATTTTTTTTCTTTTCCCTTCACGCATCAAATTCATATGTATATATAATAATATTCATCGACATATTTCTCTACCTGGAACAAATTTAATTATTTATATAAACTTTAAAAAATAAATTTAAAATTTAATTTTCAATTCTTTATAAAAAAAAGAGAAAATAACCTCAATGACAAAAAATGCTTTATAATATACTATTTTAACTAACTTTTTTTGGATTTGCCAAAATGACCAACAAAAGCGCAATGCGATCGCTAATTCGCAACGCGAACTTCGACTATCGCATTGCGATAGTCCAAGTTCGCGTTGCGATAGTCTCCAAATTGGTTGCGATAGTCTCCAAATTCGTTGCGATAGTCTCCAAATTCGTTGCGATAGTCACCAAGTTCGTTGCGATAGTCCAAAATCGCAACGACTAGTGGTATTGCATTTGTCACGACCACATTTGGAGACTGGTGATTTTGGACTATCGCAACGAATTTGGAGACTACCGCAACGAACTTGGAGACTATCGCAACGAACTTGGAGACTATCGCAACGAACTTGGAGACTATCGCAACGAACTTGGAGACTATCGCAACAAATTTGGAGACTACCGCAACGAATTTGGAGACTATCGCAACGAACTTGGAGACTATCGCAACGAACTTGGAGACTATCGCAACGAATTTGTAATAAATCGTAACGCGAACTTGGACTATCGCAACGAATTTAGAATAAATCGCAACGCAAACTTGGACTATCGCAACGAATTTGGAAAATCGCAACGCGAACTTCGACTATCGCAACGCGAACTTGGACTATCGCAATGCTAATATGTAAATCGCAATGCGATAGTCGAAGTTCGCGTTGCGAATCTAAAAACTGGTTTACGATACCTGAGATCGCGTTGCGAATTAGCGATCGCATTGCGATTTTGTTGATCATTTTGACAAATCCAAAAAAAATTGATTAAAATCGTATATTATAAGACATTTTTGGTCACTAAAATTATTTTATCTAAAAAAAATATTCCCCAACTTAAATTTTAACATGAACAAGATATTTACTTAAATTGTCACACGTCATAATCATGGACAGCTTTTACGTGGGCCATTTATATAATAATTTTGTGTCACATTTAACAATGATTTGTTCGTGTTTCGTATGTTAGCCAGCCGTCTTCAATGGATATCCATCCACCAAACAACACCTCCATGCCCCCACTATTCTATTTTTATTATTTAATTTATTCATCAATTCATTTAATTTTTTATTTTCATTTTCCAACAGTTAATGATAATTATAATATAGTATGTATAAATGCAACGAGAGTTAATATAAATAGTTGGGATTTAGGAATTTGAGTATATAAGGTTAAGTTTGAATCATATCTCCGTTATTCTTGATGGATAATCTGTAAATTCTTATGTAAATTCTAATTGGATTTTAAGTATGCTCTGGGCCTGGATCGGGGAGTCAATCCTGACCTAAACTTTTTTTTTTTTTTGTATAAAAAAGGTATGTCTAAATAATTTCTTTAGTCATTAACAATATATATCGTATAAACGTAATTACTCAAATCTAAAATTTAAAAAACACCGGCAGAGCCAGCATACTATCAAGAAAGTTTTTGAATTTTTCTTGTAAATTTAATAAAAATGTTCTTATAAAATAAAATGAACATAATTCTAAAAAGAATATTAGCACCTTAAACATGAACTGACATTTATTTATCACTTTTATCCATTTAAAAGAAATTTCATGTAAGTTCTAAATTTGACACTTCAAAATATATTTTTTAATTTACATCTTAAAATATTTTTTTTAAAATTTTCTCTATTAAAAAATAACAACATTCATTTTTTATTGTTCTTTTGATTTCAAGGTTTTATTTTAACTAATTCGGACCGATCCACATCGTACACCTGACTTTAATAGATGAATCTCTTATTAAAGATTTTCTGCATATACAAAAGACTTTAGATCCAGCTAACGAACGACGTTCACTTTAATCATTAATCATTCAGACTTAACTAATAAATGAGATGCAATTTGCTTAACTAATCCCTTTTTCACAATCGAGTGAATTTCACATTAATCATTTGGCAGCCAGCTGTTGATTTCTACCTTATCTATTGCTATAATTATCCACAGACTTTGGGTTCCCATTTAATGTTTAGTATAATGATTTTTTTTCAATTTCGATTATAGGGTTTTATCTTATTAATTTGAATTGATTTGGGTCATACATCTGATTTTAGTAAGTGAGTATCGCAACGATAATTTTTTGCATACATAAGGATTCAAACTCGATACTTACTTAAACGATATTAAACTACTTATCACTTGAACCAACAATTTTACGATTTTAGTGATACAAACTGTGATGATACTAAAATCATGCATATAAAATTAAAAAACTGAAAAAAAATAAATATTTATTAATTTTAAATATAAATATAACACATATATCACACAATTATATTTAAATATATTTAAATCAACACCCCCTTAAATATTACTTAATCCACTAAATGTTTTAGGTAAATCTATTTTAGTGTCGGTAATTATATTGTTTGACGTGTCGATCTCAGTGGTTGAGATTTTTTGTCAATACGTGTTGGCCCCACCAATCCATCGTGTAGTTTTTGACCTAAAGTGTCAAACCAAAGGCTTATTCATTTAAGGGTAAAGTACACTAATAGTATATAAAATATAATTTTTATATCATTTTGGTCACTAATCTTTTATAAATTATAAATTATTTATTATATTTATCATATCATTACAAAATAATCATCATTATATTATAATAAATAAAAATAATAACGAGTTTAACAATTATTTCATTTTTATAATTTTTAGAAAATTTGGAAAATCATAATTTTTTTATTAGCATGATATGATTATAAGATAGTATCAATTTATTTAATCAATTGAAAATGAATACACACATCCTATAAACACAATTATTCAAATTTAAAACTTCTAATAAAAATAATATATTTTTGGGTAAAGTATACAAATGATCTCTCGACTATAGGGTACTATTTTATTAAGTCTATTGACTATTAATAGTTATAAAATGGTGCTCCGACTATAAAATGTTGCTTTGTTGAGTCCCTCGACTATTAAAAGTTACAAAATGGTCACTCAAATATTCATTATGTTCTAAACTCATCCTATTTCTTTAAAAAATAGATAGTATTTTCAGTTGAACATTAGCCTGCTGACTATGATATGATAAAATATGATATCAGAATCTCAAATCACTATCATATTTCAACCATCATGTTGATGTCCAGCTTAGACAATCGTCGACTTTTTTAATGAAAAATGACGAGTTTGGAACATAATAATAATCAGTGATCATTATATAATTTTTAATAGTTGAATAATTATTTTGTAATTTTTAATAGAGTAGTACCTTATAGTAGGGGATCATTTGTGTACTTTACCCTTGTTTTATACTTTACTCTTGGTTTAACGCCATCTGCTTTGGCCCAATGGAATCTTCAGCTATACTCAAATTGTCCCGAATAAAGCCGCATGCCTATGGACAGGTGGCCTATTCGGCTTTTGGTGTGTGCATTAACTAGGGGAGGACAAATCAATCCACACAACTAAAAATAAAATAATTGTTTCCAGCAGTTCGAATTATCAAATAAATTAAATTTCAATATATATTTTTCAATAACATGAAATAATTATAAAATAATATTATGTAACACAAATATTCAAACTCATGGTTTAAAGAAAAAATAATATTCTTTCTGACCACCGAAATCATTTAATTTTAGATCGATCATCGTCGCATACTTAATTTTGGTGGATGGGTTTCTCTACAGAAATGTTTCACACACACAAAAAATTAATCGATATCAAATTGTTTACCACTTGAACTAATTTGTGTCGGACTAGAATAGAT